GCTCGTGACAATCTAGACGAGGCCGTGCTTGCAAACTCGATCATGAACACCGCCAAGGCACTGACTGAAAGCGATCGCTGCAGTATCTTTCTTGTCAAGGAAGAGACACTAGAGGCCCACTTTGAAGATGGCAATATTGTCATCATCCCGATTGATGCGGGTATTGCGGGATTTGTATCCCAGACAGGTGAAATCGTTAACATTTCTGACGCGTATGCCGACGATCGATTTAACCGCGAGGTGGATAAGGCGACTGGATACCGCACCAAGACGATTCTCTGTATGCCTGTGATGTATGAGGGTTCGATTGTGGCCGTCGCCCAGCTGATCAACAAGCTGGACATGGTGACCGAGGGCGGCCTGAGGCTGCCACGCACCTTCGGCAAACGTGACGAGGAGCTTTTCCAGACCTTCTCTATGTTTGCAGGTGCCTCTCTGCGCAACTGTCGCATCAATGAGAAGTTGGTGAACGAGAAGAAGAAGAGCGATGCCATTTTGGGTGTTGTGACGCTGCTGTCCAACACCGATATCCGGGACGTGGATGGCATTGTGCGCCATGTGCTTCACGGTGCAAAAAAGCTCTTGCACGCGGACCGCTCTGCGTTGTTCCTGGTGGACAAGGAACGAAACGAACTGTACAGCCGCATTGCGGACAACGTGGCTGGCAAGGAGATCCGCTTTCCGTGTGGGCAGGGTATTGCTGGCCTTGTGGCATCGACCGGCGTTGGGGTGAACATTCTCGACGCCTATCAAGACCCCCGATTCAACCGTGAGGTGGACAGGCAGCTTGGGTACCGCACGCATACCATTCTGTGTGAGCCAATTGTACTGGGCGGCGAGATTCTTGCAGTGGTGCAGCTTGTGAACAAGCTGGATCACGCGGGGGAGGTGACTGTGTTCACAGCGACTGACCGGGAGACGTTTCGTGTCTTCTCCCTTTTCGCAGGTATCTCCATCAACAACTCCCACCTGTTGGAGTTTGCTGTGAATGCCGGCCGCGAGGTGATGGAGCTGAATGAGAACCGTGCACTGGCTGGTGGCCGGCGTGCTTCGCTGCGCAATCTGAAGCGTCCGCTTGCCATCACGGAGGCGGAACGAGATGCGGTGCGCGAAATCAACCTCGGCCATTTGGACATCACAAGCGTTGATTTTGACCTGTTTGACGTGCGTGAGAATGTGCAGAAGCCGCTTGAGGCTGCCGCTGCCGTCGCGTACAGGCTAATTTTGGGAACTGGTCTTCCTCAGAAGTTTCACTGCCGTGATGACACGTTGCTGAACTTTATCCTTCAGTGCCGGAAGAAATACCGCAATGTGCCGTACCACAACTTCTACCATGTTGTGGATGTATGCCAGACCGTGTACACCTTCCTGTACGAGGGTGCCGCATGTGAAAAGCTGACGGAGCTCGATTGCTTTGTGCTTCTGGTGACGGCGTTGGTGCACGACCTTGACCACATGGGGCTAAACAACAGCTTCTACCTTAAGACGGAGTCTCCGCTAGGTATTCTGTCGAGTGCGAGCGGCAACACCTCGGTGCTGGAGGTGCACCACTGTAATCTTGCCGTCGAAATTCTCTCCGATCCGGACTCCGATGTATTTGAGGGCCTTGATGGTGCCGATCGCACCCTGGCGTATCGTGCTATGATTGACTGCGTGCTTGCCACGGATATGGCCAAGCATAATGAGCTGTTAAATTTGTTTCTTGTATCTATGGAAAAACCGTATTCAATTGAAGATACCACCGCCAGGCAGATGATCATGGACGTAATAGTGAAGGCGGGTGATATTTCGAATGTAACGAAGCCGTTTGACATTTCTCGCTTGTGGGCTATGTCGGTGACAGAGGAGTTCTACCGTCAGGGTGACATGGAGAAGGAGAAGGGTGTGGAGGTGCTGCCCATGTTTGATCGTTCCAAGAACACGGAGTTGGCCAAGGGCCAGATTGGCTTCATTGACTTTGTTGCCAAGCCGTTTTTCAAGAAGGTTGTGGATGCCTGCCTCACTGGCATGCAATGGACTGTCGACCGTATAAACAGTAACCGTGCAC